ACTGTTAACTGGATTTGGATGCCATTATGAGGTGGCAATAAGACGGATGGCACATCGAGGGGGAGGGAAAATAGGTCAGCCGCCATAGTAGAGAATCATTTACTTGGCGATACTCAACAGCGATACTTCGTAAATTATAAATTATCAAGTTTGAAATTCAATAAGAACCATGAGGACGGGAAAGAAGTGAAGAAGGAGTGCGAGGTGCAGAACCATCCAGAACTCTGTAGTTTACCGCTGGAAATTCATTCACGGCGTGGTCAGACACCGCAGTGTCCGTCATTTGGCATACGGTGTGGTTAGATCCCGAGCATATTTCGATACCAAGGTATCCGGGAACACAAACCAAACGGGATAGCGAGAAGATAAAGAGATGCCACGAGGATAGCGAGAAGATAAAGAGAGAGAAAGAGAGATAGAAGAGCCGTCGCGGAGTACTACCAAAGTACGCGATCGGCTTGAGAACCAAGTCGAGGGTTCAAAGTCCAAGGCAAGGAACCGACTGGAGTGTGATAAGTGAAGAAAAGTGCCCAGAAGGAAGCTGAGAAAGGTGAAGGAGTGGCTGTGGAAGGACCAACAGCGGGCCCACGCTGAAGAACAAGAAGAAGAAGAGACGTTAGGCGAAACGAGGTAGGAGATATACAGTAAGGAAGTGGGACGAAAGTGAGAAGAATAAAGTTACCTGTAGCTAAACAAGAAATACAGTGGGAGTTTGTTGTGTGTGCTAGATATTTGAGTGTTTCCTTGATATTCAAGAGCGTATGCCGATCCTGAGGCAGTGTAAACGTTGTCTCATTAGTACTGGTCAGGGAGTGCCCCACCTGTTACAAGGTTCAGAACTGCAACTTGCATCTCCTTGAAGTGAACACGAAGAACGATGGGACGTCACGAGTCCGATGGAGGTTTCTCCTCACTTTTGAAACCGCTTGTTAACGGCAAGCCGCAGGGAGGCACGTAGAACCAGTATACGTTCGGGGATGGGATGCAGCACTCGTAAGAATTTCACTCTCTTTAAACTTTTAGTCGTTAAACAAGCTTCAGTCATTTTGACCGGATCAGTAACCGAAGATATACCTATGTGAAAAAAAACCGAAGAAAAAACGAATGTTATTTCAAACGCACAGCCTACTTACTAATCGTATAATTTGGGCAATTTTCGCCCTTTTGAAAAATTATTCGTGTGTGTTCATGTTTAACGAAAAGCCAAATTAATTTCCTTAAACCTTGCAATTTACAGTTTACAGAAAGTCAACCCTAATAAACGAGCACCATACATGAACGATACCATAAATCGTGCCATCGTACCACATATTGTTGGGATGATAACCCGAATAGGTTGTTACGCACTCCTTATGGTTATCGTTTATGCGGGAAACCACTAAATGTTTGGTACCTAAATAGGCAAGCTTGCCTATAGTACCTAGGTACTATATGATTCTACTTTCATGCCTAACCGCTTGATGAGAATATTTGTTTAAGGAACAAAAATTGATACTTAAAGAGCTGCATAGACATAATCACCCCTATTCTGTATTTCGTTTCGAACGAAATTCTAATACAAAAAAATATTTTTTTGTATGAGAACTTCGTTCGAAACGAAATACAGAATAGGGGTGAATATAGCTTCAATTTCCAAAGAACCGGAGATCTAGCGAGGGAACGTGAAATGGCCGATCTGAACATTGTTTGGTGATTGCTTCCAGAATGGTCTTACTCCAGGACGAATGTTTTGGGCGGATCGTCCAAAATCTGGACGACCACTCCAGACCATTCTGGAAGGTTGCCAAGATCCTAAAGACGTACCCCAAATCCATTCCGTCACTCAAAGATGAATATGATGACGATCGGCTCATAATCACCCCTCAGGAGAAAGCAAATGCTTGGCTCCATTATCCAAAGTCCGCTCGAAGATCTGGTTGCGCGATGCATACTCAACCTTGATTCCTCCCCTTGTGCTATCCCTCCGGAGGATAGGATCTTAGTGGAACACATTTCCTTAGCACTGAAATGCACCAAAAACATGAAGGTCCCTGGGTTCGACGGAATATTCAACCTAGTGTTGAAAACCCCCACTTTCCAAACATGTGGAAGACAGCGAAAATTATACCTATCCGCAAACCCGGGAAGGACCCAACATTAGCTTCAATCTACATATCGATCAGCCTTCTTTCAGCGCTGAGCAAGCTGTTTGAGAAAACTGATCCTCAACCGCCTGAATAAGTTTGTGGAACAACACAACATCTCCTTCCGGAACAGTTTGGGTTCAGGAAGGGGCACTTCAAAAATCATCAGCTAGTACGGGTGATGAATAGCATCCGAAGTTAGACGTCGAAAAGGTGTTCGACAGTGTGTGGCACGACGGACTTGTACACAAGCTTTGCAACTTCAACTTCCCATCATATCTTATGAAAATCACCCGTAACTACCTTCAGCAAAGGTCGTGGAGGGCATCGTTGAATGGCTGCGTTTCAAGCACTTTCTCCATCCCAGCAGGTGTTCCACAAGGACGTCTGTTGGGCCCTACGATTCACTGCATCTACACTTCCGACATTCCCCCCCTCGGAGACGGTTGCGTGTTCTTCCTGTTCGCAGATGATACTGTAATAGCCGTCAAAGGAAGGATGCCTCGCGAAATAACTAACAAGCTCCAACGATGCCTTGATGCCTTTGCTGATTATGCCTCCAAATCACAAACTATGATGTTCCTCCATCGGCAATCGCCCAAACTAAAACCGGTTCCCTCCTGTACTGTAATCAGCTCCGGTGTGGGAATCATATGAACAGACTCACAGGATCCAGGTCGCTCAGAATAGAGTGCTGAGCATGATACTTGATCGTCCCTTTGACACAAGAATTTCAGACCTATATCAAGAGGCGAACGTTCCTAAATTGGATTTTAAAATTGCTGGCATTAATACTAGGTTTTTGCAGAAATGCAACTCATCATAACATGGTTTGATAAGCAATTTGTATATAGTAGGCAAGGTGTGTATAGTAATTATAGGTTAGTTGAAGTTGTAAATAGTAGTTGTAAGTATTCTCCTCATTCCAATTTAAAACAAAACAATGCCATTCTCTAAAACAGGCCTGACTTTTTTTGTTTTTTGTTTATTAATTTATTTGATAAGGCTCAACCGAATTAACTTTACAGAGCCGAGGATTCTTGTTCACTATACAATACATCTTAAAACTATAGTCATTTTATCTTCCGCTATCCAATAAGCCTCCTCCACCAGAACGGGAGCCGCTTCCAGTGGTTTCATTGTATGGCAGATTCGCCAACGGGGGTCAGAGCGCTTCCATTGCAGCAATGGACGCAAAACGTGGTCAGCACTCACACACTTATCACTAAACGGTTGCTTTCCAAAGTTGACGACGCATCGACCGAAAGAACTGCTGATGAAGAACAATGAGGAGGACCACACAACGGTTGCTGCCGAGTAAACAGACAATCGCGTGACACACATTAAGAGTGGTCTGGTTCTGTCGACAGCCGAGTGAACACTGAAAAAACAGACCTGATGGGTCTAGGAACTATAATAATTAAAAACGTTCGACGTAAACCATACAAATTCATATAAAGATCATTTAAAGTAAAAAATATACTGTATATCAATCAGTCACTAACAGTAAACAGTCTGAGCCTGTGTTTGAAGAAAAAAGGAACACTTTGAAGGACAGTGATTTAGTGCTGTAATACACAGTTTCATTTCTGTTAAGGTAAGCTTGTTGTTCAATAAAAATTGAACTCGAAAAAAATGCAACACTTTCTTTTGGGTATAACTTTTTATTGCATGGGTAAAAAATGATGGAATTTTGAGTAAAACTAGTTTAGAATGTAATGCTTACATGTGAAAAATCTGTCAAGTGGTTATCAAGATGGCTTCCAAGCAAGAAGTGCTTCGACAAAAAATCATGGGAGCGGTCGTGGAAAATCCAGGCCAGTCCCACAGGTGGATCGTGAAACAGTTTGGAATCGGCCATTCGACCGTGTCCCGTGTGGTGAAATCGTTCAAGGAGACCCAGAAGTCCCAGCGGTGAGCTGGCAGCGGAAGAAAATCGAAGACTACTTCAAGCGCAATCCGAACTTTTCGATTCGGAACAAACAGAATACGTTGGCCAAATCCCGCTCCAGGAAGCTGTATCGCGAGTGGTTGGTGCAGTTGAAATGCATCGTAATGGACGATGAGACGTACATTAAAGCGGACGCCAAGCAGATCCGTGGGCTGCAGTTTTTCGTCGGCAAGTCCCGCCTGGACGTTCCGGAAGAAGAAGGTCGACAAATTTGCCAAGAAATACTTAGTGTGGCAGGCGACCTGTGGGTGCGGAAAATTCAACAAGCCGTATAAAACGACCGGCACCATCAACGGCCAAATATATAAAGAAGAATGCCTCCAGAAGCGCCTGCTGTCCTTCCTCCGGCCCCGCGGGCACCATAAAGGTAACTCTAAGACTAGAAGGTCCCGAAGAAATGTGCTCAACTTTTTGGCTCAGCTCTGGTACTCTCTTCGGTCCCAAGCTAATCGATGCACCCCTCGAAACATAGGAAAATCCACGAACCCCTTATTTTATCTGTCAACCTTTCATAGCGAATCAAAACAAACAGAGTGTAGTACTAGAATTTATACTAGAATGGGGTACGTTAAACGATTTGGTGACACTCTGGTTTGGCCGGATCTGGCATCGTGCCATTACGCGAACCCGGTGATGGAGTGGTACTAAGCCAACGATGTTGTTTTTGTACCGAAGGAGGCAAATCCGCTAAACTCGCCAGAATTTCGCCCAATACAAGAATTCGGGGCGATTGTAATCTTGAACCATATTATCTATTGCGTAAATGTTACTTATTCATTTAACTATATTCTTTTGCACTTGTAATAATATTTTTATGATTACCTTCTTAGAAATTAAAAAAAAACTCTGCCAAGACGGGCGCCGTACATTAAATTTACGTTGACTGTATGTCTGTTCGTCCATCTCACTCAACTGATTGGTGTTAATTCACAAACTTAACCTTATTATTAGTATCTCTCGGAGCGAGGTGTATCAGAATTTTGTTTCCCTCCCCTTTGCTGGCAACACGGAACGCCTCGTGGACGTCCTTCAAATCGTAGTGATGTGAGACGAGTGGCTTGATGTTCACATATCCGGTCGCTACAATCTCCAGGGCAGCTGGATAGCTGTAATTCAAACAGAACAGTACCATAAACAATGCAATAAGTACCCAATTCCGCATACTAACTCGTGATTGTACCGCATAACTGTTATAATGTCAATTTCCCTTGAAATGGCATCCACCATCGGTACATTGATGTTGTTGTTCCGAAGCCCAATGAGGCAGACCTTGCCAGTGTTTTTGGTTGCAAGTATCGAAATCCGAATTGCCACCTCATAGCCGGTACATTCCAGAAATCGATCTGCTGGTCCATCTAGCATTTCATAGATTCTATTCACCACTTCCTCCTCCTTGTCATCTACGTTGATTGCGATCGTACCCGTAGCTCCTAGCTTCATCGCTAGATCAAGTCGTCGTTGAGCTCTAACCTGGTCCATGACTACAATCCTCGTAGCACCCATCGCTTTGGCTGCAATCAAACACATTTGCCCTATCGGACCTGCCCCGTAAATGACCATTCTGCTGCCTAGACGAATATCGGCACGGCGAGTGGCGTAGACTGCCACCGCCAGTGGTTCCAACATGGCGCCTTCCTCCATCGTGACATGATCCGGCAACTTGAAGCAACAGTCTGCATATTGTGCGTAGTAGTTCGAACAGTTTCCGTCGTGTTTCTGCGTGGTACAGTGCTTACCATTCAGACAGACATTGTACTTACCGACCTTGCACAGACCACATGTGCGACATCCAGCGGCTGGCTCGATCGCAACGCGATCGCCAATCTTCAAGTGAGACACCTCACTACCCACTTTCCGTACCACTCCGGCAGACTCGTGTCCCAGTACGATGGGTTTGATCAGCGTCTGGGCACCGAAGCCACCCTGCTTCAGGAAGTGAATGTCGGTTCCACAGATTCCACAGCAATCCACCTCGACGACCACCTCGTTGAAGGCCGGCTCCGGTATGGGACGTTGCTCCAGGCGAAGATCGTTTGGGCCGTGCACTACGGCAGCTTGATTCTGGTTCGGTGCCATCGCGAACTGTTTACAAATTGGTGATCCAGCTTCTGCCGTAGGTTTATATAGAAGTTTTTGAGGCGACTAGTGTGATCATCCCAAAGATAAGCTTTGGGCAGGATGACCTTTCTTTAGTTTATTTGAAGCGAGGGTTTTGAAATTGATTATGACTGAGAATGTTAAATTGAGGACAGTGTTCCGGTTATGCTGATATACGCATGAACTAGAAAAGGCACACTGGTCTACGATCGGTAGCTTTTAAAAAATTGAGGGTCTGCAGAGTGGGATTATATTTAAGACCTGTCCTTAATTTGAACATCAATAAGCGTCGGTTAAATATTTTTTTCAATGGTGTCCAAATTTGAACGTGCCCAAGGCGTGTTGTAGCAATTGTTTACTTGCAGGGAAATTCCGCACCAGTCAAAATTTGACAAATATAATATAATATTATTACATTGTCATCCTTCTCGGCGGTGGTATTTTTCCAGTTCACGAGTACATCTGGTTGATTCTGATTATTTCGAAGCTTTGTTTTTATTGTCGTCTGGAAATTATATATGTAGGTGATTGATGATTAGTTCACCCGAAACATCACCACGATGGAACGTGTCTGGAAGTGTGATTATATTTAATGAAGTCACATGACTGTCTGGGGGTTACTCTCCTTCTTTTGTCATGTAGCCTAACCAATCGCCTATTTGACCAGTTCCAGGCAAAATAGTGTAAAAATTATAATTTTGAATCGATGTTTTCCGATTTGTATGCAACTTGCGGAATTTAGTGTTATGGGAATTATTCACATTTTCACTAAAATTTGGCCATTTTGTATCTTTTAAATTTTTCAAAATACCATCTTTAAAATTTTTCAAAAAATTGTAGCAAGGAAACGGCATTTCTGATCGAGACAAAGTTATAGAGAAAATCAATATCTTGTTGGAAAAATTAAACAAAAAGTAAAACTCATAAAAAATGTTAAACCCAAATATCGTAAAATGTCCTTGCCCAATTAATTTTTGTTTTTAAAAAAAAAAAGCTTATAAAAAATACAAACTTTTGCAATGTTCAACATTATGGACGATTGAAAACTGATTAAAATCTCCAAAAGATCCTAAATGGCAAAATTTTAACAACAATGTGAATCATTGTCGATAGCAAACAATTATGCAAAGTTTCATGGAAATCGGAGAAGGTCGAGTTTTTCCGATTCGTCATTTGGCGTGGTTTCATATCTTATCATGCTTATGTCTCTGATTCCTTTGATTTCACTGATTTATCTGCGTTCTAAAATTTATTTTGCTGAATTCAGATTTCATACATCTCTGATTTATGATTTTTCTAATTTCTCTGAATTCTCTGGCGTCACAAATTTTCCTGATTCCTCTGATTTATTTGATTTCTGTGAATTCTCTGATTTCTCGAATATCACAATATCACGAATATATTACAAATATCACTGATTTCTGATTTCTATAGTTTCTCTCATCTCTCTGATTTCACCAATTTGCGTATTGATCGTTTTTTTCTGATTCATTTGATTTAAGATTTATTTGATCTATTTCTAATTCCTCTCATGAATGATTTCTCTGATTTTTCAAATGTCTCTTATTTGATCGGCGGCAAATCAGCGGATACAGACACCTAACCAAGGCAGAACACTTGACTACAGTTTTCTCTACATGCGAACGGAAGAGGAGCTTTTCATCGAAGAACATTCCGAGATAGGTTACTTCGGCAGACCGCTCAACCCTTGTGCCATCCATGATTACAGTACAAGATGGAGCCGGTTTCAGTTTGGGCGATTGCCGATGGAGGAACATGATCGCTTGTGACTTGGAGGCATTGATTTTGATTTTCCACATGGTGGCATAATCAGCAAAGGCGTTGAAGTTTGTTCGTTATTTCGCGAGGCATCCTTCCTTTGACGGTTATTAGGTACTGCAGCGTGACGTCACGAATGAACTCAGTGTTAATCGGCTGAATCTTTTTGACAGTTCAGTGGTACTGTTTACAAGCACTTAGTCGTTTTTTCGAAAAAATATATTCTAAAATTTCCGAATTTTAACATGAAAATTGTCGAGGAACAGCGCGTTGAAAGGATGTTGCTCGTGGACATTGCAGAAGTGTGGTTTACATCTCACTGCAGTCTGAAAAATTATCGAGAAAATCCACCCAAGAAAAAATCGACTAAGTCCACGTAAACAGTACCACTGAACTGTCATCAGATTGAGGTTAACCCCGACGGCGCAAAACCTAATTGCGGTATTATCTGCGAACAGGAAAAACAGGCAACAGTCGCCGAGGGGAGGAATGTCGGAAGTGTAAATACTGTAAAGCAAGGGGCCCAGCAGACTGCCTTGTGGGACTCCTGCTGGGATGGGAAACGTGTCTGAAAGACAACCATTCGACGATACCTTAAACGACCTTTGCTGGACGTAGTTACGGGTGATTTTAACCAGATGTAATGGGAAGTTGAAGTTACAAAGCTTGTACACAAGTCCGTCATGCCAAACATTGTCAAACGCCTTTTCAACGTTACTTTGTTACTTCGGATGGTATTCATCACCCGTACTAGCTGGTGATTGGTGGAATGTCCCTTTCTGAATCCAAACTGTTCCGGAAGGAGAATGTTATTTTCCTCGACAAACTTGAGCAAACGATTGAGAATGAGTTTCTCGAACAATTTGCTCAGCGCTGAAAGGAGGCTGATTGGTCTGTAGCTTGAAGACATTGTTGGATCCTTACCGGGTTTGCGGTTGAAGATAGCGGCTATAAGAGACTGCACTTTTATGCTGAATCTCTTCAAGATCAAGTTGAATATACCGTCACACCCGGGAGTCTTCATGTTCTTGGTACATTCCAGGGCTGAGCAAATCTGTTGTACTCTAATCATACCCGCCGGAGGCACAACACAAGGGAAGACATCTAGGTTTTGAACGCATTGCGCAACGTGATCAACGAGCGGACTTTGGATAGTCGAGTCAAGCGAGATGCTTGCCGATCGCATTTGCTTTCTCCTGTGATTAAAAGCCGATCGTCATCATTTTCGACTCTGAGAGGTGGAACGGGTTTGGGATGAGTTTTCAGGACCTAGGCTACCTGCCAGAATGGTCTGGAGCGGTCGTCCAGATTCTGGACAACATGCCCGAAACTTTCATTTCGGAGTGAGTCCATTCTGGAAGCAATCTGCTTGTTCAGATCGGCCATTTCACTTTTTTGCCCAGATCTCGAGTTCTCTGAAACTGGCGTCTATGAACATTTCTCAACCGAATCAATAATTGGATGTGTTAATCAATAGCAACAAACTTACCCCTCACAGGAACTTGTCGAACGTATGTCTCGTCAGCCATGGATATGGTCTGTTGGAGTCCTTCCAACGTCCGGTCGATGCCATCTACGGTGTCGAGCGGTGGATTTTCATCGATGTTGCTGTCCACCATACATACGTCCGTACTGCATGGTGGTAGTCTTTACACAGGCAGCTTCTAGCAGGAACCACGTTGACACCGATTTCGGCCACCACCGGTTGGTGGTCGGAGCTGAGATCGTTGTGCGCCTCCGGTTTGGATAGTCCGATGTTCGACAGGAAAAAGTCCAGGCTGGAGGGATTTCCCACCGGAGAGATAAAAAGTTGGTTCGTCCGGACAGTGTACAGTCCATGTTGTGCGAGGTCGAACAATAGTCTTCCGTTCGGGTTCCGCTGGTAGTTCCTCCAAGCTTCATAGCGGGCATTCAGGTCGCCTCCAACGATGAATCGGGAGCTAGTACGAGTGATGGCGGACAGGTCGTTCTTGAAGTGGATGCCTAGGCCGTTGCTTGTGGTACACCGGCGTGGGCAGTAAACAGCGATAAACCGGACGTTTCCAGTTGGTGATTCCACCTCCACACTAACGGCCTCGATGATAGAAGTGCGGATCAAGTCGGATAATTTTGTGGTCAGGCAACCAGAAGCTGTCACCGGACTTTAGGTTGGTCTCGTTTAGAAGACCCACGTCGATGCTAAGCTTGCGGAGGAAGTCGGCAAGCTCAATCTGCTTAGCTCTTACAGAACAAGCGTTCCAGGTAGCGATGTTTAGCGGCTTGGATCTGTTCGGGCTTATTGCGGCACTTACGTAGAGCACCGGTCATGGCCTCAGTTCATCCGCTGAGAAAAGATCGTAATTATTGGTTCGAGCTGTTGGTTGTCTCCAGAATCCAGGGGGGATGGAGAGCTTTGTCCAGCAGACGATCCAGACGTCTCTTGAGGGGGCGCGGATTGCACCCTTGCATTCGCTTGTCCATGCAGAGGCGGAAAGTGCTCCGCCCTGAAAGCCGGGGCCTTATCCTTCCTTCGTGCTAGTTGATTGTTGGTGTACGCCTGTTTTCTGATGCGCTTGAAATCCTCGCGTTTAGGGCACTGCTTGTTGGATTGTTGGTGAGCACCACCACAGTTGGCGCATTTGAATGCCACGGCTCCATCCGCAGGGCAGTCGGAAGTGGCGTGATCTTGAGCGCAAGTGCCGCAGCGTGGCTTAATTTTGCAGTTTCGGGTGCCGTGTCCGAAGTTCAGACACCGTTGGCACTGAGTCACATCGCGATGGCCACCACGGTATGGCTCCCAGCGGACGGTTATGGAATTGCTGGAGCGGATGGCTTTCAGCGCGTTGAGCGTCACCGTTCCCTTCTGAAAGTGTACCATGAAAAGGCAATCCGGATACGCCTTCACATTTTCGTCCTTCCCCAGCTTGTACCGGTCCCTGATTTCAGCTTCGATAAACTTCGGGTCGAAGTTAGGTAGGCCCCTGATGACGACCTTGAACGGTTTCTCACCGGAAATGTCGTGGGTGAAGAATTCCACCTTGGAAGTCCTCAGGTGGGTGACGACCAAGTCATACCCCGCTTGGTGCCGACTCTGGCCAACTTGTATTCGGTTTTAACGCCCAGCGTCGCTAGATCCGCGATGAGCTCATTAAGATGGGCATTTTTTACTACCAATGGAGGTAGCTTCACTTTTGCCGCACTCGGGCCAGCAGAATTTTCGTTGTCGATGGCGTCGCCG